TGAAAACTCTAATCCCAAGAATCCAGAATAAGAGGAGTATGATCCCATCCAATATGAGATACAACAGTAAGGAAGGCACTAGAGAATAGCTTGCGCACCCCATCAGCTGCCAAGATCGGTCCAAAGACAAATCCTTCCTCATCATGCGAACCACATAGTCTTTTGATTAGGGAAGAGTCCCCAGGCCACTAGGACCATAGCATTCCACTAAGATTCATTGAATGGCGTGCTTTCGAAGGGATCATCATCTTTGAATTTAGCAAGAGCTTCTCTTTTGTCACCATCAAGTTTATGCAAGGGGGTATAATTAGGATTGTGAAATCGAGCAACAGGTTGAACGTGCATGAATATGAGGTAAGCCTTGGTGTTGGGAAAGGTTGCCAGGAACCCATGAATCTTTTGAGGTTCCTTGGACCAGATCTGCACAAGGACGGGATCAAGTATGCAGAGGGAGCCCTCATCCAACTGAATCGGGTTTCTAATGAGCTCAGAGAAGGCCAACATGGAGGGGACATTACGCATGATAGGCGGGACAAAATGGACTTGCACCCAAGTGTCAACGAGGGAGGCGTACAATTTTGAAACGTCTGGCACCTCCGCGATCTTAACAGAGACATTGTTTTGAAGGAGAGTGAAACTTGTAATCTTCGAACACCAATTATATCTCTTAGCCAAGGGGAAAACAGCCGAAAATTCCTTGGGACCAAGCTGCTGGATCTGCCAATGCAGTCATCCAAACCTCAATGCCTTGGCTCATCTTAAATAGTGGGAGAGGTACTTCATCTGAAAGTACACGAATGATGGAGATATTTAGAGGCGTGGAAGGTGCCACCTCCTTTGATGATCCCTTTCTGGGTTAAATAAACCACGGCTGGGGATATCATAGCCATGCATCGTGTAAGTAAGTAGCTTGGAGTTACTAGAGCATTTCACTGTCAAGTGACCCTCACCACGGCAGATCTAACGTGAAGGGGGTAATTCGCAGGCTGCATGGAGATGACCCGGACGACGACAAGATCTCATCCTCCACTTGCTACTTCTCTCTGGCATTTTCTTCATTGAGCCAAAAAAGCAATTCCCTACAATGCACTTTTACTGGATGCTGGCATGGCAACAGAATGCATGCTTGCTTGTTGTTTGTTTATATAATAGTCTTGCTTACCTAGTTATTAAGTATACATGGTGTATTAAAATAAGAAATGCATAATTCCATATAAGTTAGTAAAGATATCCAGCACATTGGCATGACCTTGAAAGAGAAATATCATAGCTATTGTTGGTGAAAAAAAGTTCCTTATTTAGGCAAGAACATATATGAGAGAAATAAAGATTACTGAAATTAGTACTGGTACATTTAGATTAGGACCTACTCAAAATGACTATTGTGCCTTATAATTAGTACTGTTGTTTTTTATGAAGCCAAATCTTATGACCACTTCATCAAAATGAAGATTCCAACTCCTTCATGTTTGCTTCATTCCATATATGGTTCTCTGAAGTTTGCACATATTTCCAACATCCATTGGATCAACAAAACCCTAGGGTGGTCTCGTGTACATGTTCTCAGTTAATATTCCATTAAGGAAAGCTTATTTTGATTCCTATATGCCATATCTCAACACTGAAATGTGCAGCAATTGCCAGAACAACCCAAACTGACATAACCATGACTATGATTTTGATGATCTCATGGTAGTCAACTCACTGAAATTCTCTAAAACATTTTACAACAAGTCCAGATTTGTGGATGTAATCGTTGTCATCCGCATCGGTTTCGCCGAGTTAGGACCCATCATTGCTCCTTTGTATGCCTTGGGCTTATCATTATCAAAATAAAATATCTCGTTAGCATACCACGTTGATTTGTAGAACTTTACCTATATTGCCTGGTTCATTTGCAAGTTTGCCTGAAGTCTCTACATCACATGTAAGGGCTTTTATATCATACACAGTGAAGAAACATCAAAACTTATTCCAGTGATTCCTTACTCTGACATGACGATGAAGATTTCGTAATCCTGTCAAGCTAAACAGTCCTCCCATTCAATCTTTTCGCGATAAAACATTTTTCCATTGGTGGGGTTATATAAGGAATACCCTACAAAATAGCCGTTATCAGATTTGGAATTTAGAGCTTATGCAGTTGTATAGATTTTTACATATGCATCATATTACCAAAGTTTTTAAAGACAATTTGGTTCAGCATCCCATACTATATCTCATATGGTGTCATTTCAATAGATTTGATCGTGCTCTTTCCAGTGTGAAATTTGGTGTCACTAAAGCATAATGCAAATAGATAATGGCAAATAAATTACAGAAATCATTGATCATTCAATGTTCTATTGTGTCTCTTGTATACTTCATTCCTCTATGGCGTTCTAGGAGGTGCAAGTTCTGAAAATATTTTATGGGTTGTCACACATTTGCTAAACACGTAATTGAAATTTTCGGATAACCCCCAAGTCTCTATCATGGTCGAGACATCTAACGAAGCAACGACAATTTTAAGATAACCCCCTCGTACCCCCTCAGGTCCCTCCTGCAAGCGACTGAGGGGGCCGAACCGTAGACACCGGGGCTAGTCCTCCTCCTCAAGCTCCCTCTCTCGTCGCCGCTGCTACACGTCGCTCATTCGATTGGCGTAGGCGGCGGAGGGGATCTCTCTTCACCACGCTCGAGCCCGTTCGGCGCGGGACGACGGCTTCAGTGATAGCGTCATGTTGGTCCAAGCATGAGTGATAGCTTAAGCTATGGCTGCTCTTGGCGGCGTCGTGGATGGAGCTCGGCGGGCATGGCATGGTAATCAGCTAGGCACGGCCAGAAGATTGAGGTGGGCTTGGGCATGGACGGTGGTGGCGGCGGCGGCGGCGCCCAGCCAGGATCCGATCTTGGTGGTGGCGACGACGATGGCTGGCCCGGATCCGGCCATGGTGGTGGCGGCTTCCCCTACACCGGGGTTAACATGCCAGCCGGTGGGTCCTTGTGGCGGCGCCGGTCATGGTGGATCTTGGGATCCCGTGTCCGGGCTTGCCGTAGGACGCGTGTGGCGGTCAAAGATTCCTCGGTAGGTGAAGTTGTCAGGCGGTGCATGTCGTCGGTAGGTGAAGCCACCGCTGGATGTGCTACCGGAGGATGCTACGCACTGTGTCTTATATGGAGACGTCAAGGCATGCCTAGTACCGGCAGGTGATGCACGGTGGCTCTAGCGGAGGTGTCATGTTTAGCCTGTTGTTGTCGGAAGGAAGGTGGTGTGACTATAGTGGGAGGCAGGCGGTATGGGACGTCTTTGTCTTCTGTTGTCTCCTCCAGAGGTAAGGTGTCGGTAGAAGGATAAGGGCGGATGGTACAGACGGCTTCAGCGACAAGTTTATGCACTCTGGTGGAAACACAAGATCTCCGATCAGACTATGTCATCGCGCGCATGTGTCGTGTCCTTGCTCAAGGTGGTCAAGTAAAGCTTGGCTTTGGGGGTGAGAATCCGGAGTTGAACCTTGTGGTGGACTCGCCATCATCGGCGCGCGTGTGGTTATCCCTTCTTGAAGGCGTAGCGTAGGAGTTGTATATTTTTCTTTTATGTTGTGTCTTGTATCATTAGGATTAGTGGCCATCTGAGTGGGTACTATCAGAAGGTATATGGCCTCAAGGTTTGTTTTCCACAATGATAATTTATTTCATTCTGAAATTCTTCAACTTTTCAAAGGTTTCAAACTAATATTTCATTAAGGAGCTATAAAATTTATATGCCTAAATCATTTATTCAAAGCAATGAAGTAGAAGAATCCACCACACGTAGCTAAAACTTATGTGGTATTCTTATTAATCTTACGACATTTAGCGTAAGTGCTATGGATGTGAATATTACCATCGAGATTCATAACATACAACCCATTCATAATGGAAGTATGGCCGTTATGTTATTCATATGATTTGAAAAACCATTTATCTCTTATTTAAACGAATAGCCTTCTTGCTACAAACATGATTCAAAAATGATGTTCTTGCAAAAGGCCCCAGCGTGGTAGCACTTTACAAAGCTATAAAATGAATTATGAACTCACACAAGGAAAAGGAATCAGAATGCAAGGTGTTTGGAAGATTATAAGAGAAGCTAAACCCTAGATTGGACGCTGAGAGTTCTACAATGTTTTGTGGTATATATTTTCTACGTGAATATCATCCGTATTTTTAGAAAAAAATAATGTTAGTTCAGCGTAGAAGATTCGCGAAAATAGAGGAGAGATGGCGATTGTGCCATTTTCCCAGGCTCTAGGTCCAATCGCCCTATCTAGGCTGCCTAGCTTATCGGACTGGCCACGTTATGCGCCGTTTATCCAGTGCTCTCTTTTGTGGTGTTCCTCGACGTGTGTGGAGGAAGTTTCATGTTGTTAAGGTTCCAAAATTTTATCGGTATGTTTAAAGAGGTGAAATAGGTGCAGATTTATGATATTTAATGACATATCAGCTGCAAATAATAAACGAACGCAAAAATAAATTCAGATTCAATCTTCAAAAGAAATAGATATGTGTGTGATGTATCAATGCTCTTTTCAGAGGGTGCACCAAACAAATGGACCTTTCTAATACTATAGTTCAACAATAGCAAAGATATCAACAACTTGAAAAACACTCTTGAAAACGGAACTCTTCTTAGCTCCATTCACCCGGACTACGTTCAGAGGGTGCACCAAAAGAATGGCTCGTTTGAGCCCTATCTAAGATACTTGAAGTCCGAAAACAAATGTCATCTTCTGAGCTCGAGCTCAAATTAGCTCGAGTGAACAGTAAAATCTCAATTTGAAGCTCTGCACAAGATTTATTTGGCATTAGAATTCCTCATTCTGTGGGCTATTATATTGCAACGTAGCATGATACCACTATCGCCTGCCTCGTCATTAATTATGGTGCCATATCATCCTTTTTACTTAGCTGGCAATGCATGGTATGTATATGATAGTTGCACTATGAGATGCCTCACAGAAGGTGCTACTTTGAAACAGGTGTGTCGAAAAGCTGATTGGTTCGGATGAACATATCAAGTGCATAAGCAGGGCGCTTCTGGGCGGGCAGAGTGATGTTGTGGTAGTTACCGGGGAGAGTGGCGTTGGCAAGTCAACAGCAGCGCGAGCAGCCATCCAGGATGGAGCTGTGCAGAAACATTTTGATGTTCGCGCTTGGGTGTGCTTGCCAGCACAATCAAGGGTTGGGAGGTACTTGGATAAAATTCGGGAGCAGGCTCAAGAGCAGACACACGGCTGTGATTGGCCCACAAGCGAAGAAGGCGTGAAGCAAGTGCTGGCTAGACTGAAACTGCTAGTGGTATTGGATGGAATGGACAGCGAGGCTGAGCTGATGGAGGTTCTAGGGAGTTTGCCTCATGGCGCCGAGGGGAGCAGGACAGTGGTCACAACAGAGAATCCATGTGACCTAATCATTGAAGCTAGGGATGACATTACAATGGTGGAGATCAAAGGCCTCCGACGAGATGAATGCCTAAAATTGCTAGACAGCAGGCTTTATCCATGTAGCCGTGATGTTTACATGAAGCACCACGACAAGTTCAGTGACAAGATATTTGCAATTTCAGGAGGGCTGCCTCTTGCGGTTGTATTGATCTCGGGACTTTTATACTTCAAAGACAAAGAAAAGCAGTGGGATGAGGTGTTCGATCTGCTAGAAACCTGCGAGCACAAGAGGCAGATCAAGGGGATACTGACAGTGAGCTACGGCACAATGCCTACAGTCCTCAGGCTATGCATGCTATACTTTGCTGCCATGCCTGCCAACGTCCCCCTTGACATCAACATATTGCTGAGGTTGTGGAGTGCTGAGGCCTTATTTGTGTCGGAACAAAGAGATTTGGAAGAAGCGCAAAGGGAAGGCCGGCCGCCGCAGTGTATCCTTGCCCTAGTGTCACGAGGCCTTCTCCAATTGGCGCAGTCTCCTGACAAGGTGTGCATTCATCAAAGAGTTCAGAGTTTTGCCAAGGATTTAGCACATGATGATGGATTCATGGAAGCTGACGACAAGTTCCGCGCCTTTGGAGCATCAACTGTTCGTGGCCTCTCCATCCAGAACTATAGTGAAAGTGAAACGGAGGTCCACATGGGCGATATCCGTTTCAATAAGCTGCGCATTTTGTTGGGCTATTTTTCCGAAAACCCAGCACCCGGCCTGAACAAGAATGGCAGGTTCAAATCCCTGCGTCACTCCCATTTCCTTAGAGTCATTGAACTCCAGTGCGTTCGTCTTGGTGCCTTACCAGACCGTATTGGGGATATGATTCACCTAAGGTATCTTGGCGTTCGTGGCTGTTCCTTGACACATCTCCCGGACTCGGTGGCAATGTTGCTGAATCTGGAGACACTGGACATAACTGATAATGATATTGGCGCTGTCGTGGATAAGTTTTGGATGATTCAGAACCTCAAGCATGTGCTCGCCAACAAACTCTCGTTACCAACCTCCGCGGCATGCATGGCTTCGGACTCAAACCTTGAAACACTCCATGGAGTGGTTCTTTCTCCACTCTCCACGCAGGAGGACTGCCCACTAGATGCAACGCACAAACTCTTCTCTTTAGAAGTTGTGCTTGCCACAGCAGCGAGTGTGCCGGTGCTGGCCAATGCTCTGAAGAAAATAAGCTCTGTAAAGCGCATCAAGGTAAAAGGTGACATCGTTCCACTGGATTTTCCATCCATCAAGGTGCAGTCCCTGGAATTAGATGGGACAATACAATCGGTCACTCCCAATTATAAATTGACAGCCACCAGTCTTGTCCTGAGGTCATCACGTCTGTCTCAGTCATTGCTGCACAGTCTTGTCTCAGAATCAGCCATACTTGAGCTAGAATTGCTAGACAAGTCATTTACTGAGACCCAGCTGGTGCTCAAGGCAAATGGTTCCACACATTTAAGGAAGCTCAAGCTTGGAAACTTGGAACTGTTGGAGGAATTGGTTATACAGCAAGCTGCAATGCCTAGGCTTGAAACCTTGGAGATATTTGGCTGTCCCAACATGAAGATAATCACTGGCCTCAAGGATTCAATCTGTCTCAAAAATGTTGCCCTATATGACATGCCAGAGGTTGTTGCAACAATCAAAGCTGAGGACCCAGTGCTCTTCGACAAGGTCAAGCATGTCATGTCTGCGGCATGGGCGAATACAACCTGATATATGATCTCTGTGGCTTGCCTGCAGGTAAATGCAGGTCAGAAATGTTTGAGTGTTTTTTTCACAGAAAAATATTTGTGTTTGTTAACTGGTATGAAGACCAGGATTACTTGAAGTTTCCAAAAACTTCCATTTCCCTTAATTTGTTACTCTACTCAGACTTATGCCCCAATTACATGAGCCTGATAAACTCATGATTTCGGTTCATGTATGTTGTGATGCTTTAATAAGCCTTCTGTATGTATGGATCATGCTACCAACAGAGCATTAATTGATGTTGCTATATGTTTGCCTGTCATTAATTGTACCAACAACAACTCTGCTTCTCGCTTCAGTCTGTTCTATTATAATGATTCTCGCTGCCTCGGATCGCCACCTACTCCACTACTTTAACCTCACTGGGGACCAGTTGCAGTGACTTCACCACTTGGCTCTTCTATCTGCTTCGCTGCCATGGGGACTCCGCTTGCCAGTGCTTGTGTATTGGCGATGGCCCACCTACGAGTCATGACATTCTCCCCTCCTTGAGGACCACCTTGCCCCCAAGGCGGTGTCGACCGAAACTGCTCCCGATCTTCCCAAGTAGCCAAGCAACAGGCAAATCACTCCACCGAACGAGGGTTTGAAGCTTGGTCGTGCCCTGTGAAACAAATCACCTTGCATTCCAGAACCGGGCCGGGCAAGTGTTGCACCTGTAGAACGGAATCAGTGGGTGGTAATTCAGTGTTTACCTGAACTGTTGCCCCAACAGGTCGCTTCAACAGGGGCGCATGCACCACCAGGTGGATTTTGCTGGTTTCCGGTAAATCGAGCTGATACGCTGCCGCGCCAACTTTTGCTTCAGTGGTGTATATATGGCCCGTAGTAGCGAAAAGCCTTCTGGAAGCCAACTTCAGCAGTACAACATGACCTACCTCCAAAGACCGATTTGTATTTTACGATCTGCTTGTTTCTTCATTCAGTTCTGAGCCTTTTTGAGTTCTTGTTGCAACCGGTGCATGAGAATCTCTCGTTCCTGCAACCAAACGGGCAGATCTGGGACGGTACTATTGTCCACTTAATCGATGTCAAACTCACGTGGCATATGCCCATAGATCACCTCGAATGGAGTAAGCCCCAGCACGGAGTGGAAGATAGTGTTATACAATTATTCTGCTAGCGACAGCCATTTCGACTAGTTACCAGGGCAAGAGTGCACCGAACAGCGCAAATATGTTTGCTCGATTTGCCCGTCGGTCTATGGATGGTACGAAGAACTCATCCTCAGCTCCGTTCGACACAACCGAAACAACACTTGCCATACCTGACTCGTGAAGATGCGTTCCCTATCAGATATGATCCCCAACGGCATCTTGTGTAGTAAATCTCTTGCATGAAGACCTTCGCGATGTCGAGAGAAATCAATGGGTGCCGTAGTGGCACAAAATATGCATTCTTCGAGAACTTGTCCACCACAACGAGAATAGCATTGTAGCCGCCTCATTTTGGTAACCCTTCGATGAAATCCAGTGATACCACTACCCATGGTCGTTTTGGAATTGGAAATGCCTGCAGTGTTGAGTAAATAGGCAATTTCTCGATTAAATTAATCCATGAGTAAATCACTAGCATGGCATTGACTAAGTTGATGACGTACTGACTCTGATCTAAACATGCACGTACTAAGCAAACAGTAGACAAATCTACACATACTGCTAGTACTGCTAATATGAAAATAATTAGGAGTGGGATAAACAAATTATACCCTCCAGTAGGCCACGCAGAGGCCACGGCTTTGGTGGCAGCAGCGGCGTCCTCGTTGGCCTTCTTGTCGGCTTCAGCTTTCTCGGCGGCGGCACGGTCGGCGTCGGTGGACATAGTGATGATGAAGGCGACGCGGACATAGAGGAAGTAGACGATCGGAAGCGAGCAGTCGCGTAATCGCTGCCCAAAAACCTTTTCGCCCCTCACCCCTCAAAGGAACCAGAAGGGCGTGGTTTCGGAGACCTGCTCTCCCGTTGACCGTGTACGCGGCGGATGGGATGGAGTCACCGGCGGCAGCAGCAGCAAAGGAACGACGGTGGGAGTGCGCGTGAGCAGATGTGATCTGTTCGTGGCGGCTACGGTTAGGAGACACCGCAAACTTATAGGCGCAGCCGTGTGGAGAGACGTGGGCTCGACTCACGTCCGAGTCCGTGACAGCCCACGATCCGACGTCTCAGATCGTGTCCCAGCTGTCAGAAAACTCTCCGTTAGTGACTGGCAAAAATAAGCGCGTAGGTGTGAGCTCGGCTCGGCTCAATCCCGCAATCCGCGGCGCGGCGCGTCGTGACGAGGCGAGGCGAGGCGTGGCGTGGCGTGGCGGGCGGCGGAGAAGGAGTGCGTGAGGGCCTCTTCTCTTCTCAAACTCCAATAGCATGTGGAAGAGAAACCCTTATAAACCACTCCAACTCTCCTTCCACTTCCGGGGTTGGACTAAACTTCTCACTACACCTAGTGCCATATAACCCACATGGGCCCTTAGAGATTTTTCAGAAATTGCAATATGGGCCTAGAGCCCATCTCAGATTTTCGCAATCCCCCACCAGATCTCGAGGGCCCATTGTGTCCTCTGTTCCAATTGCTGTTTCGATATACCAGTGTTTCAGTGAAGACCTGTTAAGGTTGAACTTCACCTAGAACAAGTAGCTACACTCCTTCACAACTGAACAATGGACTATGCCTTGAATTGTCAGTTTGGCATAAAGAAGTTTCACTACATGTCTTACTAGTACTAGGCTGCCGAAGGCTGACCCCTCGGGTGGAGCATATAAGTCACCCTCCTAGCCTATTCATGAGCTTACTAGAGATCACCCCAATCTCATAGACTGTGACCAGCAGTCGGGCTCATATAGGTGTGTTCCTCCAAAGATCGCTCCGTAGGATAGCATCTTGCTTTTATAAGCTTTGAAACACATTAAGACCGTAGTCATCCTACCATACAGTATCGAGAGTATTGCATCTCCAACGGAGTGGGTTAGTATAGTTACTCTCCTCAGTTCACCACTGGCTTGTTTTCCCAGGTCCTACTTCACGGGATCTCCGATCACATAGGTTGGGTTACCACCATGGAAAGTCATGTGGGTCTCATACCCATCTCCCTCGATGCATTATCTATCACAACACGTGATAGCCCTTTTGTAAAGGGATCTGCCAGATTCTTAGCCGTATGGACATAGTCCAATGCTATCACTCCGGAGTTTCTTAATTTTCTGACAGCTTTTAATCTCATTCTTATGTGTTTGGTGGACTTCATGTTGTCCTTTGAACTCTTCACCTTGGTGATGACAGTTTGATTGTCACAGTTCATAAGGATAACCGGAACCGGTTTATCAACCAATGGCAAGTCCATCAAAAGATCTCGAAGCCATCTCGCTTCAACACCAGATGTGTCTAATGCCGTTAATTCTGCTTCCATTGTCGATCTCGTTAAGATCGTTTGCTTGCAAGACTTCCAGGAAACAGCGCCACCTCCAAGAGTAAACATATACCCAGTTGTGGCCTTCATCTCATCAGCATCAGAGATCCAATTCACATCACTATACCCTTCAAGTACCGACGGGTATCCGGTATAGTGAAGTCCATAGTTCATAGTACCTTCAGATAGCGCATAACTTTCTCAACAGCATGCCAATGTACATCACCCGGTTTGGAAACAAACCGGCTCAGTTTGCTCACAGCAAACGCGATGTCAAGCCTCGTTGTGCTCGCTAGGTACATCAGTGAACCAATGATTTGAGAGTATCTCAATTGATCTTTAGCCATGCCTTGGACTTTCGAATCAACACGCTAGGATCATATGGTGTTTGAGATGGTGTGCAGTCCGAATATCCAAAACGACTCAACACCTTCTCAACGTAATGGGATTGCAGAAGTGTGATCCCACCCTCATTATCTCTCAGTAGCTTGATGTTCAAGATAACATCAGCCACACCAAGGTGTTTCATCTGAAAGTTCTGAGATAGAAACGATTTCACCTCCTCAATGACTTTGAGGTTTGTTCCGAATATCAGTATGTCATCAACATACAAGCATAGTATAACTCCTTCGCCCCCACCATGGCGATAGTATACACATTTGTCAGCCTCATTAACAACGAAACCAACAGATGTCAGAGTTGTATTATACTTATCATGCCATTGCTTAGGTGCTTGTTTCAGGCCATATAAAGATTTTATCAACCTACACACCTTTCTTTCCTGACCATCTATCACAAAGCCATCAGGCTGTTGCATTTAGATTTCCTCCTTTAGCTCTCCATTTAGAAAAGCCGTCTTAACATCCATCTGATGGACGAGAAGACCATGTGAGGCCACCAACGAGAGTAATACTCGAATGGTGGTCAGTATAGCCACAGGTGAATAAGTATCAAAGAAATCTTCCTCTTCTTGCTGGTCATAGCCCTTGGCCACAAGCCTAGCCTTGTACTTTTCAATCGTACCATCGGGCTTAAGCTTCTTTTTGAACACCCACTTACATCCTAGTGGTTTGCAACCATAGGGACGGTCGGTGATCTCCGATGTCCCATTAGCCATGATGGAATCGATCTTGCTACGGACCGCATCCTTCCAGTAGTCTGCTTCTGGAGAGGCATACGCTTCTGAAATAGAAGTGGGAGTATTATCCACGAGGTACACGAAGAAATCATCACCAAAGGTCTTTGTAGTCCTTTGTCTCTTGCCCCTACCAAGGGTTTCCTCGTCATCCTCCTCAGGATTTTCATCATGTGTTTGTTCATAATATTCCATAAGGATGGCAGGTTCAGGAGTCTCCTCAGATTCCTGTTTAGAAGTGCTTTGCATATCTCTCATAGGAAAAATATCCTCAAAGAATGTAGCATCCTTAGACTCCATAATTGTACCGACCTTCTGTACCTCAGATTTCACTACTAGAAATCTATAGCCAATGCTGTTCTTAGCGTAGCCTAAATTAACGCAGTCCACAGTCTTGGGTCCAAGCTTACGCTTTTTGGGGATCGGCAC